TAGTGGCTGCCCACTGCTTCACTGAGTGAATGTGTCAAATGCAGAGAGAGTGATTTCCCCACGGGGATCAATAAAGTATACGTTATTATTAGATTCATTAGAGTTTCTGTTCTCACACTGATGCCCCACCAGGAGCTCAGTCTGACTACAGTTCTCTGTTGTTCTCCTCCACTCCCTATTGTGTTGTACACATCAGTGTTTTCCTCAAAGCTACCTGTTCTGACCTGTCTCCCCGATGTGATGTTTGTGTAACGTCAAACAAAGGCTTCATCATCATCAACTTGCTCTGAAGATGCTCCATCTGAATATGAATATGTGAGCTAGAGCACACTCAAGTGTTTGCATGAATGATGAATATAAAGCACTTAGAGCCAGTCTATTCAGCATTTACATGGATGTAAGGCGTGTGTTTATTGATACTGTCTGATCTATGTGCTGATGTTCATCATTTTTTATTAATTTTGACGCTGTGAGCTGAGGTCAACATTTCCCCTGTGCTTCGGGTTGTTCTGTGTCGGCTCACTTCGGGCAGGGTTACTGTCCTTGTCAGTCTGGATTCATTTCACAACAAAGAGTCGTAACTCAGGTTCTTCGTCCTCCCTGGCTGTGAGCTTAAAGCTCAGACGGGCCACCTGATGTGCACCTGTACTTACAAACTAAGCGATGTCTGCAGCAAATACTCCACCACCATGGAGACGGAGATCGGGGACAGATCCGGCTGTTCACTGAGCCTGAAGAAACACAGAAATGCCACTCAGTAACCTCCAACAAACACAGAGAGAGCGGCGTGTGGTGAAGGCCGTACGTGGACAGCTGCAGCACAGACTGGATCTCGCGTGTGTCCAAACTGATCTCAGATGGCTGAAATTTGATGAGAACCTGAACCTGATACACAGGAAGAGACAATACATCAGAAAGAGCTCAGCAGAGTTCCTGCAGTACAGACAGCAGCAATGCTAGTGCCCTGGTCAGCTGTGATATTTCCTACCTTGTTGTTGCTTCTGAAAGGATTCCCGAGCTCACACTGAAGAGAGGTCCCCTCCACAGAGCACTCCACCACTGCCAAGGCGTCACCCTGAAACACAAAGGAAAAGGGGTGATATGGTACTACAAGGTCATTAAGATAAGATCCTGATTATTTAAGACCTTGTATGTGAGGAGCAGGATTTTGAATTCTGGATTTAACAGGAAGCCAAAACAGGAGAAATCTGCTCTCT